AACCTTACAGATTAGAGATAGTTTAATGCGGGCAACAAAATGACCTACTCAGAAAATGTTTTTGGTCAACTTTAATAGTTGGGTCTCTATAGTCACTGTTTTTGAATTCCGGCTGAGAAACTGAAATTGGACCAAAACGGACTTCATATTAGTAATTAGCACCGTCGATTATATATACGAAGAGCAGTAGTTAAAACTATTAATAAATAAGGAAGGTAGCCTTGTTAGACCGAAGAAAGAAAACTTATCAACTTAGTCCTCTTGAAGGTGTTGAAAACTCCGCCCAATACATCCTACTCCACGTTTGTAAAGGAACTAGATTGTAAAGATTTCTACGGTGTGCTTATATCGGGAATCCCATGCAAGCTATACCTGGTGACACATTTTACGGATTTCTTAGTCGCTTTTGTCGGCAAGATTGTGTTGCGCTTTTATGCATTGCATTGTTCAGAAGAGTAAGATTTTAATATAAACTTACACTCCTCTTTTATATTTCACAACCGTATACACTATACGGACTTTCGCAAAATGTCTGAAGGTCGATGTATCAAAGTTTGATTAGCTCTCTATTTGGAGGCGAAAACGTCTTATGCTCGTGACGCCTGAGTGAAAGTCATAAGAGACCTTTCTCTTGTCTGTCAAGTACTATTGTGGAACTCCTCTAGTGTTGCACGTTTTATATGAGATATAAAAGTACGAGCGTAAGTTTATCCACTACCAAAAGTCTACTAATACCAGACCTCTGCAGATTACGTACGAACGTGGTCCTTGCGTAACATCTGGAAGGTTTTTCACGTCAATCGTTTTAATGCATTTAAAACGTTTTGTTCTACGAAATCTGACAGGGTTTAGAAATGGTTGCACTTCTCTATGCCCTTTTAGGATTCGTAACCAAACCTCTTTTCTCAAGAGTATGATGCAAACAGGAGGAGATTCACATTGAGATCTTGAACGTCGAAGCTGATAATTCTTTTATAGATTTTGGAATGAGTTGCATTCATACATTTTCAAATCAAGGCCGGCGCTAATAAACTCATGTATCTGACTTTTCTGCTCACACATTTTGCATTGTTCTCTTTCATTATCTCATGCAGGTCGAAGATTTTTATACGAGTACTAGTTCATCATCAATTAGCTCCGTACCAGTACAATTTTTAATCAATGTTTATACTCAACCATCCTATATCGCACCGATTCTGAACAGTACAGATCCAATTTGTATCAGTGTACAAGTAGGTGTGCCATGGTCAACAACATTGAACATATATCAGGTTGGTAGTATGACATCAACACGTTCAATTACTGATGTTGATATACAACAAACATTTACCCCTGGCGTTACTGAAGGAACATTATCGACAACTGCATTAAATCATTCGTGGTATACAGAAACATTAAATTGGACACCGACAGCAACAGATGTTGGACCACAAATTATATGTGCAGTTGCTAGAGATGAGTAAGGGAAGCCATCAACATTATGATCGCAGTAAAGAGAGCGGTCGTAGAATGTTAATTGGTGATTTCTCTCTTTAATGTTTGTATAAGAGAAAAGCTATATTAAATGCTTCTTTGCTTCTCCATTTTATTCATTTTTTTTCTACATATTGTCTTTTATCAATTCTTATATATAACATATCAGGGAAACCTAAACTGTGGTAATTAATTATAGGTAACATATGCATCCTATTTGTCCTTATCACTTGCTAATATGATCTTAAACAAACAGTAAGAATGATTTTTCACTACCGGTGTCATATTGGGTTTGTTCAGGTATTACATAGACAAATGATAGAATAGACTCGGCTAGGAAAGGTCTATTTCTACCTTTTACACTACTTTCTAATACACGAGTTGTACTCTATGTTGAGGCATTTTTCAGAAAAAGTTCCGTCGTATTTCTAAGTTATACTATTATTTCGCTTTAGGCCATGATATAAAGAATCAGAAAACGTGAAGTCTCAACATGGAGATCCTCGAGTAACAATCGCGAATACCTTAGTGAGATCTTTCGACGTACTGCGTAGTGGACTGTTTCTAGTATCTATGACTTCCAACCCACTTTTCTTTAGAAAATAATGGTCAAATGTTCATGTTGTTTCTTTCATTTTCGTTCCATAGTATAGTTCAGCAATATCGTGGGTCTATTACGACTGCTCTCTTTACTGCGATCATAATGTTGATGGCTTCCCTAACGAGGGAACGTTCTCAGGTGTCGGATTCCGATTTCCTTCGTTCATATACCGATCGATAGGTCATATGGAGATATGAAAAAAAAGGATAGCGAAAAAAAAAAAGATAGCCTAAAAGGATAGCGGCGTAATTGGCTTCCTTCATAAGTTATGCGCGTCTTTCTAATTTTCCCAGGGGAAAATCCAAGAAATTGAAAAATTCATAACTCCGTCAAATTTTTCTTTCTAATCAGCTGATTTTAGTTATGTAAACAAATCTTAAGGGTTTCTTAAACACGTATATATATTGTTAATGTAGAAAAATTAGTTGATAGTTACCATTATCACTGAACTCTAACATTTTTTGTTCAAGCCTGTTACTTGTTGGCAGAAGTTGGTTTTCATTTTGCAGACTTTAAAGTTTGTACATAGTTCATGTGGCAATAAAAGGTTGATGTTCATATATGAAAAACTTCTTTCCGGCAGTTCTGACGTGAGACTTCTCCTGGGATCGAAGGATGACAGACAGTAGGGTGAGCGCCAGTGATTCAGAAAAGTTCTCAAAAGCTAAACATAAATAAATATAAGCCCAAATAACTCTCGAAGCGATGAGGTAATACTGACAGCTATTCCTTGATACACGAAAAATTCCACATCTCTGAAATGAAACATGTTTGAAGGCTGAAATTTTCAGCGTAAATACTAGATTAGGGTAGATATCTTGTGTAAAAGTTTCAAGCGGATACTCAAAAATTTGACGGCGTTATGAATTTTTCAATTTCTTGGATTTTCCCCTGGGAAAATTAGAAAGACGCGTATAACTTATGCAGGAAGCCAATTGCGCCGCTATCCTTTTAGGCTTTTTCATATCTCCATATGACCTATCGATCGGCATATGAACGAAGGAAATCGGAATCCGACACCTGAGAACGTTCCCTCGTAAGTATAATGAATTAACAGACACTCTTGACGGAACAGGTTCAACTGTTAAATTGCTCTTAACCTGAAATCTATGGGTTTCTACGTTCTTGATGATGGTGATTACAAATCTGAACTGCATTTGTACTGCTATGAGCTGTTAAAGTATTCTCTGTGTAAATCCGATCTGTAGAGACCTGGGCTTTAAGAGGAACCAAGAACGTTTTGATACGACCATTTTGTAGAGCATTAAATACTGAGTATTTTGTGAAAACTCTAGGCTTGTAACACCAGCTCAGTATGAGTTATTGCTTTGGAAATATTAGTAACACGGATGGTATGTTATAGCTGAACTTAAGAATTCGATTACAACGTCCGCTCATGTCTCAGGAGTCTGGAACTTTCAGAATATTCCCAGTTTTTAGTGTTCTACAAGTTAATAGAGTCAAAACATTTTTATTCCGTTTGAATGGTGAGGTCTCTAGACAGCGGATTTAGACGGAGAACACCTCAAAAACTCACCAGCAGTACAAATGGAGTTCAGAAATTCGTAATCTGGAAAATATTGGTATCAGATAAAAGGCGATATATCAGTTGGGGCAGTTCTCGTTTCAGTGGTTAGTGTAAAGATCATCGATCTTTTATTTACAGTGCTAATGTAACGTCAAATACATATTGTCTACGGTTTGTCGTTGCAAGTGGTAATGTGGGATTATGTCCAGGACAAACAACAACGACAACCTTCACAACAACGACAACCCCTACAACAACGACAACCTTCACAACAACGACAACCCCTACAACAACGACAACCTTCACAACAACGACAACCCCTACAACAACGACAACCCCTACAACAACGACAACCTTCACAACAACGACAACCCCTACAACAACGACAACCTTCACAGCAACGACAACCTTCACAATAACTCCTAGTACAAAGTATGCATTAAAAGATTAAATATCTATAGGGCCGGGCTACTAGAGCACTGCAAAAAGCCGTAAAAAATCAAAGAATTCTACTTTTTTCGCTGGAGAATAAAATAACTGTAACTTTTTTTCTGCAGTAGCTAGAGACATGCAATTGTCGTCATTCAAGTCAATTGTTCGAACTTTAAAGCAAAGTAGGTCTCATCGCGGCCGCGTACGATCATCGTAGTGGTAGTATGTTTTACATGGATTCATCAAAAAATGAGTATGCAAAAAGAAAATATCCCACAGGTGTTAAACCCAGGAACAGAATAGAAGCTCACTGTGTTTCGAATGGGCATATATAAGAAAACAGCTTAAGACCAGCATATTTTTTGATGATCGCCTTCCGTTTTTTCATCAAAACCGCTTGTGAAGTGCCTGAAATTTGTTTCCTTCTGCATGTGATTGCATAAAGCGAGGAACTGATTATATTTCGCTTATAGAACTTTCTGATTTGCATCTACTGTAAAAGTTTCAAAGAAATCGAATAAATCGTTCAATCGTTACAGACAAAACAATCTTCAAAATGTCGCTATGCAAAGTGTGTGAAATACTATTTTGTTCAAATCTTTTGCCACTTTTTCTCAAAATGGAAGCCGAGAAAGACTGAATTTAGTTTGCCATTTACAACTTGAATAGAACTCGATCGGTTCATACACTTTGTTTCTCTTTCTATTCGTAGAAAACTGAGCTATGCTTCGTAAAACTATTTTAACACATCAGGTTTTTGTAGTAAAGCAGAAAATAATTAAAAGTATAAGAAAAAAAGATATCAATGATGATATGAATTGCTTATAAAATAGTCCAGTCTTGGCCACAGCAAAAAAAAATTTCACCGGAATAGAAGGCCATCCTCAAACTTCTAATTTGCTAGGACAAAACAGAAGCCCACTGGGCTTCTATTCTGTTCTTGGGTTTAAAAAATTCTTTTAAGTTAAAGCTCATTCGCGCAATATTTTATATTGGGAAAACTAAGGGCACATGTACCCTACTACAGTTTACCGCACAGACAACTGTGTCAACAACATATGCAGAAAACATATATCGCACATACTCCATAAAATTTTGAATTTTGTTTATTTACAGTACTATAACTTGTGCGTCTCATCTTAATTTACCATTAATTATTGGTCTATCCATGTTAGCTTTACTTCCGCTATTGGCTCTATTATGTTGCGCATGCTATTGGTGTTTATGGTAAGTTTTTCAATTCGTATTACTCAAGTTTTTGGTTTGTATACAACTAACTTAACCTAGTGTATTATAGTGGTCCGGGTGCAGCTCGTCGACGACGAAAACGTAGAGAAGAAGAAATACGACGAAAGTACTTGCTACTCCATCCACTATCGACAGATAGTCAGCATATATCATGTACAGCTGAGCCAACCACTCTAAAACAAAAATGCGTCCGTCCATTAAGGTCAAGGTTACGTCATCGACATTTTCGTAGTGTCAAACCCACAGTATTGGCTTTGTCCAAACCAAATAAAACCTGCTTGATCTATAATCTATTTGATGATAACCGTAAAAGCACCTACGATGATGCTCTCAATAGTGGTCGACAAATAAGGACCACTAGTTTAAGTAGTTCATCTGCTCGGCACCTTGATGTCATAAAGAAACAGAAATTTACCCGTCCATTAAGCGCTGTTAGCGTTAAACGTCTAAATAAAGACCAACAGCCGCCTGCAATAGGCAATGAAAAACTCAATGCTCCAGTACTTAATTATGGCGAAGAAGAGGCTGTTAATACATCCGACATCAGTTTGCCTGACGCAACAGTTAATGAGCGGAGGCGTCGCGCGAGCACATTGAGCGTCAAGAAATTACCACGAACAAAATCATCAACTCCAAGTGGACGTATTATCAGTGTACCAAAGTCTGCATCTGTTCCAACACATGATACTCCTTCCGAAAAGCGAGCTACTACTGCTGTTAGTGTAACAAAACTACGACGTCAATCTATTGCTCCTGCTTCTATTAAAATTTGCTCATCATCAATACCAACTTGTAGTAATACCCTAACATCGGATTCCTCGCCACTGCCGCGCCCACCACCACAATCACCCTCAAGAAGAGCAACAGCTACTATTAACGTTATCAAATTAAAACGTCTTAAATCACCTGCTATGCCAGTTTCCGATAAGTCTGAAACAGCAACTGCAGAGGAGCCATTGGCAGAAATTAGTTTAGACCAATCACGCATAGAATCAACTGTAGAAGGCGCTTCTCAGGCCCATGCATCACGAAAAGCACACATGGAATTCTGACACGTGTTGAATCTTCTGGCGCAATAATAAATCATGCTGAGACAATATCAACAAGTGTGAAAAGACTGGTACTGTACCATTTGAAATAGACAAGCACTTTTATAATTGTCTACGGTTGCTTATTGCTAACATTTGCTGTTTGCTTATGTGGTTATGTTATAGAAATATTATTTAAGCCTACTATGCGTTCCAAAATACAATGGTCTCGGATATTTTTCGAGTAACTTTTCACAGAAATGAGATAGAGACCTGTGGTCTTCAGTTTTGAAAACCAGACATCTGACCACATATTTCTGTAAGCAAAAGCGAATTTCGAAAAAACTTCTGAAGCGCACCTGTCAGAAGATCTTTGGAAAAGCAGCTTGGATTTTCCGAAATGCACATAGGAATGTATTGATTTTTTTTCATGGACTGATAGCCCAGGGTACTATGTTCAAAAGGGAGTAAAATGAGACCTTGATTTTCTTAGAATAGCTTAAATACTCTACATTCCGAAGTTTTGAACTCGTTCTGATGTTTTTTGAGTGAATAGTGAATTTTTTCATATTAGGTGAAAACAGCCTGAAAACTCTAATTTTGTACATAAGATATCTCCCGGCTGTCAAGAACGTTAGAAACATTCCCCTCTGCGGCTGATGGGGGTGAGGGTGAAATCGGAAATCGAAAGAAAGATCGCAATCAGCATCAAATTCTGCATCGAATGCCGTATTTAACTCACGCAAACATCGACTTTCCTTTTTTTTCGAAAAAGTTTCGCCTCTATGAGCCCCTCAAAACTTCAAAAATCTTTTTTCTCGACTTTCAATGAAAGATACATCATTTCATACAGCACTTCATCCTCCTTACGAATATCAGGTCGAAAGTTGGGCCTTGACTAAAAAACTTGAGTTTTAGCGGAAGATGGCGTTGGTGACCTAATTGAATAAATGCGGTTTTAGTGCCTCAAGATGATGTTTGATAACATTCAAAATCCGCTACATATACTCCAAAGCGTATCGGCTTTTCGAAAATCATATATCAAATGTTCTAAATGTTGACCTAATCGCTTCCATCTCTGAGTTCGAATATTGTTGATTCAGAATCTATATGTAATGAGAATACAGCACTACCATCGTCGTCTTCAATGACTATCACTACTAATAACTTTCTAATATCGGTAAATTTCATCACATGAAAATCCAAATATAGCCTGTATTGCATTCACCATGTCAAGTCAAGATTTTAAACAATTTTCTAATCGAACTAAAAACTCTCTTTATAATGACTGGCAAAATATCGTTTATCAAAAATTAGTCACAGTCAGCGTAACATGTGTTTTGGCATTCCAGCATAATCATGTCAAAAAGCTTCTATCGAGGAAAAAAAACACTCCATTTTTTAAGGCTGATGCTAAATGTAAAATTCAAAACTGTCCAACAACTTTTCGTTTAACATTAAAAGATATTGATACGAAACCACGATCATTTTTAGTCGAAATCAGTGATACTCCAAAACATGATAACAAAGAAGTTCCAGCACGAAGACAGCTTACTGAAAATAATCGTTTAGAAATGGGTTAGTTGCATAAAAAAATAACAAATTTCTCAATTCTATCGCTATGTTTTAGAACAAAATCCGAAGAGAATGACTTGGCAATGGAAGGAAGTGAAAAAACTTGCTAGCTACTCAAAATGTCTCATGGAAAAGGTAAAAATAAATAATAAAATAAGATTATTTCCGTCTTCTCGAAAATATAGCGAAACCAAAGCTAGCGAGAAGACTCCCATCTTGCACTTTAGGTTTTTTATAGCGATCGTTTTAACTCACTCAAGTACTATCATTTATCTTCACGTCTAATTTGGGCTATATTCGTACGATTGGAGAAGGTCCATTCACCGTTCATTTGATGTGTGAAGCAAAAATTCTTCGTTATATAAATTATTATCGATCAGTTTTATATTCATTTCTTCATCTGGATGCCACCGAAAGTGTTATTCGGAAGATAATCGAGCAAAAATCGGCTTTCTTTTACAGTTGTATCTGTAAAGACGACGATGATCCAAGTTGTCTGTTACCGTTGGCCAGTGCAATTTTGTATGAGAACACTGTCACTGGCATTCACCATTTCTTAGTAAATGTTCGAAAACATATTGTTATCATTAAACGTGTATTTGTAAGATCATCTTTTATAATGGTTAATTTTAGTCATGCGTTAATTAATGCAGTATTAGCTTCTTTCAACAATATGGATATAAATACGTATCTTCAAATATGCTTCAACGTCTTGCAATGTAAATATACTAGAAAGAAACTTAAAGCAATAACAATTATTCGAATGTGTTGAGCACATGCTATACATGCTTTTGCTCGAAATTTGGCAAAATTTCAAATTTCAGAAAGACGTCGACATCCACCAATAAAATTTTTCGCTCTTCTTCTGAATACAAATGAAAAGTGAACAAATTGTGTAAAAGACTTGTTCATCTAAATCAGATGAAGAAACAAGCTTATAGGAGAGATTTTTCAAAAAAGAGTTACACATTGATAAATAAGCTCTTCTCTGTTTCTCCTGGCGCGCTATCTGAAGCTGATCTACTGTGTTTAAGCAGATAAGATCAAAGTAACTACTCCCCAATTCTGAAACTTCCTTTTACTGTGTACAGTCATGCTATATTTCGCACATTTTTTTCTTTCGTTCTATCAGATATGAGTTTTTTCGTACATACATCTGTCCTTCGGTTTCTAAACACTCGCGACGATTGTTTCTTATCCTTTTCCCTATCTGTCAAACGAAAAAATATGTACAATTTTATATATGTAAATATGTACAGTTGATCTGTCATTCTTGTTTTATCACTGAAGTTACTCGTACGGAGTTCAGTTCTTTCAGCAGTGAAATCATGTAGTGTACAACGGTGTGAAACGGCGAAGTGAAGATTATTATAAGTAAATGTTCCTGTTCAGTACTGATTGCGCTTTTACATAAGACTTTTAAAATCGTACAGAATAAAAGTAATGTCGAATTTCTTTGTAATTTTTTCAACAAACAAGTTATTTACCAGAAGAGCATTTTAGCGAAAACAGACTCGTGCAAAATAGAAAGAATCAGTCAGTTCACGCGATTTCTAATTTAAAAGTCGTTTTAAAAAAGTAAAACAGAGGTAGAGTAAGCTGATTTAACATAAAAAATGTAGGAAAAAGGCGATGTACTCCTAGAAACACTATGTTTGCTATCTGTTTGTTTTTTTCATTATCTAAATCTAATAGCATCTGTTTAGCTATTACTCCATATGTGTTCTTATATTTCGACATTTGGTTAAAAGCGTAACTATCAATTACTTCTGCTACCGGTTTTTTGTTTTGTCAAAAACCCGAGATCGAATGAATAAAAAGCAGCTAAAAATACAGCACACATAATTGCTATCGTTGAATCCGTTAGATCGAATTTTAACAGATTTGAGTAAATAAGATAAAAATCATATTCGTTGTCATTAGTTTTCGAATAGACTACGGTAAAAGTATTTGGCTGTTGACTACACATTTTGTCAAATGGTTCATCAAAACTCTTTTTTGTATCATCGGGTATCTGTACGAATAGAAAATGAGACAGCATAAAGCATTATTACATAAAACGGATAGATAAAAATCAGTATAAAACATTTCACAAAAACCCACATCAAAACCAATAAATATTGATCGTAGATTTTTGCGACTTTTAGCTAACATATTGAGTAATTCTAATTCATGATATCTCTATAAAACACCAATGATGAAACATGTAGTAGCAACAATAACAAAAGATCTTTTGGATCATACACGAGCAGCGCACAGCAGAATCCAAGAATCTGGATATAGAAGTGGGTCAAAAACCTCTACTTCTCACTCAATATTTTCTTAGACTGAGACTGACTTCTGCTTTCCCCTCCGTACTTTTTCAGAACGTTCTACGTATATGACCCTTTTAACACAGCGATACTTGTGAATGATCAACATCTGGATATAATATTTTTAATTTATCAAATAATTTTAATATATTTTGGGAAGTTTTGGCTACTGTTGATTGAGTGCGAACTGCAAATTCAGCTTTGACCTACAGAAAATTCGTACATTAAAGTAACAGTAGCAAGTAAAATATATATATTTACGAAATCGAGCTTTTTCGTAAATGGCATGTTTTTAATCATATCCCGAAATAATATATTTTTGTTTGATATATGTTGGGCACGAAGATGATACGACGAAATAATTAATTGTTTGAACCTATTCTTGTTGCTGCTATATGCTTCATCATTAAATAATTCATTAAGCGCTTTAACGAACTTTTCTAATTCTACTTCATCTTGCTCCTCGTTTCCTTCATCGCCTAAACAGAGACATAGAAAAACAAACCAAGTTAAATGGACAAAGTGATAATGCAGCTCGAGCTGCGACCTTATTCGTTTTGTTTTTCTTCATCAGCAGCCGCCTGGTGCCGACCATCCCACTGAGCTCCGGAACTTTTTTTCATCTTTTTCATCAGACCAGTGGTCTTGTACGCTCTTCTAGGTACTATTTCATCATTCATAGGAATTCAATCTCTTTTCATTACGTCATAGGTTTCCAGATAATCCTAGCTTGGTGTGATTTAGAGTTGCATCATCTTGTTCATTTTAAATGTTTGATTTTTTGCTGTAAATAACGATGTATTTTAGTAAGTTCGATAGGTTTTTGTTGAATACAAATAAAGTTTTATTTGCTCGATCAACTTAGACTTTTCAATCGGTGAAAGGGATTTTCGCCTGGTGACAGGTTTAGGCCTAACAAAGTTTAAAAAATTCTGTATTTATGATCGTAGTGTCATGTTGGAACAGTTATATGCCGATTGGAATATATTTCCAAGGTGATCGACATATCAAACACTTTGTATATCTTGATTAGGAACTCGAAAACTGCATGAGGTTGTATTCTATCGGAATCCAAGGGACTGGAACAAGCTTCTTCAATCGTTCACGTATGTCCCTACTATAAAAGTGTTTAACCACTTGACTGTTAACGACGAGTATACTCGTCAGAGCAATTTTTATGGAAAAGACGAAGACTATAATTCCTTAAATCTGTTTTTTTTTGTATGCTATGGGTTGGCTCTACATCCTGCACCTATTGGAGCTCACTCTACTGATTCTGATGTTTCATATCGACTATGTTCCTCACCCTTGGAATTGTGTAATAGGAAGGAAAAGATCGAATAAGATGTAAGTTTTGGAATAAACATTAGGCATCTAGCAAAATTGGAGATATTTCTTCTAGCACAAGGTATGCGTGTGCAAAGATTGCGATATATGTGATGTAAAAGAACGAGGAAGAAAAAAGAAGTTTAAAAAAGTGTTGAAAGAATGAAATGGTGAATGAAAACAACGCTGCACTGACTTTTCCTCTTTCTTCACATGGCAAAAGAGAAAAAAAGAGAAAAAGAGAATATCTATTATTGATAGATATATACACGGATATCTTGAAGATATACGTTGTGCATGTGCAAGAAGAGATATCTGCAATTTTGCTAGATGCCTATCATATACATAACAACGTTTTATCGGACATAAGATATATTTTCATTTGCTCGTATTCTGCACTGCTCGATCAAGTTTTTTTGACAAAATCAGAATGATATCAAGCAACGATTCTTACAGTGATACTGACGATAGTTTGTCAACGTCCAGTTCATCTTTGTCTGACACTGATGATGAAATTGATTTAACTAAATGGACCGTTACTCCAACGGTCAATAGAGATCCATTTCAGTTTGTTGACAGTCGCGAAGTTCAAGTCAAAGACGCTCAAACTCCTATTGAATTTTGGAATTACATTTTCCCTAGAGATTTAGTACAAACAATTGTATATGAAACAAATCGCTACGCTGAAAATGTATAGGAAAATTCCAATCCTCGTCAGTAATATTCACGTATACATAAATGGGTTGCAACAAATATTAACGAATTTAATGTTTTTCTTGCCTTACTGACATTACAAGGGATAATAAGAAAACCGGAACTTCAGATGTATTTTTCAACCGATGAACTTTTAGCTACACCAATTTTCAATAAAATTATCACTGCTGACCGATTTCAAATATTACTCAAAATGTTACATTTTGAAACCGATCACGATCCGGACAACAAATTGAAAAAAAACTGGCCAGTTATTGAAGTTTCACGTTCTTCATTCAAAAGACTGTACAAGCCAGGAAGATTTCTAGATATTGACGAAAGCTTGCACATGTACAAGAGCCGCCTATCGTGGAAACAATATATTCCGTTGAAAAGAGCACGATTTGGATTTAAATTCTTCATGTTATGTGATATGAATGATTATATTCTCGATTTTATTATTTATACTGGTCGCGATACAAGTTACAGTGAAAAATTTAGTGATTTACCGTTATCAAGTCGAATAGTGATGACATTGGTGGAAGATTATCTGGATTTAGGACACTGTATTGTAATGGATAATTATTATTCGTTGCCAGAACTATTTCTGTACCTCGTAAAGAGAAAAACAGATGCCGTTGGAACAGTTCTTTCAAATCGAAAGTCTTCCACCCGATTTCAGAAACTCTAAACTCAAAAGGAATGAACGAATTACAAGATATTACGAAAAAGTGATGGCATTAAAATGGCTTGATAAAAAATATGTTCATGTGTTATCAACATATCATGAAAATAATACTTCAATCGTTCAGAAGAGACAAACTCAAGTCGAAAAACCAACATGTATTCATGAATATAATGATACAATGGGTGGAGTTGATAGGACCGATCAATTGATAGCTCTTTACTGTATACCTCGACGAAGATTGAGAAAATATTATAAGAAAATATTTATGGTTTTACTTGATTTGGCTATATTGAATTCATATCATTTATATAAAATACAAACTCAGGAAACAAGCCATGACGTAATGACACAACTTCAGTTCCGTATAGCCCTTGCTCGTTTTCTACTGGAGCAAAATTTACAGGATAATCTACCGGGACACCTAGTCAGAATAGGGTGACTATCAAGCGAACCTACGCCAGCACGGTTAGTTGGACGACATTTTCCATCTTTGATTCTTCCAAGTGAAAACAAGGAGCTTCCAACAAGACGATGTTTCGTTTGTAGTCATACAGAAAAGAGAGCTAACCGCACAAGACATGAATCAAGATAAGAATGTTCAATTTGTGACATTGAACTTTGCGTTGATCCATGTTTTCGTATTTATCATACCATACTGAACTTTTGAGCGAAACGTTCAATTTTGAAAACGCATTTTTCTAGGACAAAGTTTTTTGTGCTTTGTTATTGAGAAGAGATTTCTGTTTTCTATATAAAACAATAAAATATGTTTGTCCACTAGCGTCTTTTACTATCCTTAATTACCTACGAATTTGTGAAAGTTGTTTTGCAAAAAGTTTACCAGATAGTTTAAAAAAAAGACTTTAACAGTCAAGTGGTTAAGAGCAATTTAAAGTTGCATCTAAATCTATTTTAAGTCTACCAAAATATGTTCTGTCCTTTTGTTCGTTTGTTTGTTTTTTTCCCTATTTGTGTGTCCACTAGTAAAAAAACAAAAACAAAAAAACTTCCTCTCGTTTTTTTCAGCATATATTTGTACGCTAGTTTGTGCGGGATATGTTCACTTTTATAAACCCTCAAGGCTCTGAATATGTACCTCGATAGTATGATCTATCCAAATAAATGAAATGAAAATCTTTAATTTCTTTCAGTTGTCACGTTGAAAAATCAGGGAGCTTTTTAAGGTGCTCGTAATTCAAACTTCGAGCAAAATTTGTTTTTAACTTAATCATACATATTCTGATTTGTCTTGTCGAGCTGATCACGAATATCACCTTTTGACTTCTTTTCAACCGCATCTTCATGGAGAAAAACTCCGATTACGGAGAAGGTCGCAAA